TTGCTTCCTTTAGAGAGAGAGAGCTGAGCTGATTATGACTTGAGGTACTTGCATGTTTAGAAAAATTGCGTCGTGTGCACACACACACAAAACCCCCACACACACACACACACACACACACACAACACACAAAACACACAACACCCCACAAAAAACACACACACACACAACACAACACAAAACACACACACACCACACACACACACACACACACACACGCACGCACACACACACAAAAACACACACAACAACACAAAGTAGTGGCAGTGTCAGAAATGGCCCCCTGTGACCAGCGGGGTCCCACAGGGGAGTCCTAGGACCAGTGCTGTTTCTGGTATTTGTCAACGACATGACGAAGAATAACCCCTGAGTGTCCCTGTTTGCAGATGACGTGAAGTTGATGAGAAGAATTCACTCGATCGAAGACCAGCAGAACTAACAAAGGGATCTGGACAGCTGCAGACCGGCCAAGCAATTGGCCCTGGAGTTCAATTCCCCCAAGTGCAAAGTCATGAAGATTGGGGAAGGGCAAAGAAGACCGCAGACGGAGTACAGTCTAGGAGGCCAGAGACAAAAAACCTCACTCAAGGAAAAAGATCTTGGGGGGAGTATAACACCAGGCACATCTCCTGAAGCGCACATCAACCAAATAACTGCTGCAGCATATGGGCGCCTAGCAAACCTCAGAACAGCATTCCGACATCTTAATAAGGAATCATTCAGGACCCTGTACACCGTGTATGTTTTGGCCCCCCTATTGGAGTATGCGGCACCAGTTTGGAACCCACACCTAGCCAAGCACGTGAAGAAACTAGAGAAAGTGCAAAGGTTGCAACAAGGCTAGTCCCAGAGCTAAGAGGTATGTCCTACGAGGAGAGGTTAAGAGAAATCAACCTGACGACACTGGAGGACAGGAGGGGATGGGGGACATGATAACGACATACAAAATACTGAGAGGAATTGACAAGGTGGACAAAGACAGGATGTTCCAGAGATTGGGACACAGTAACAAGGGGACACAGTTGGAAGTTAAGACGCAGATGAAATCACAGGATGTTAGGAAGTATTTCTTCAGCACAAGTAGTCAGTAAGTGGAATAGTTTGGGAAGCGATGTAGTGGAGGCAGGATCCATCACATCAGCTTTAAGCAGGTATGATAAAGCTCACGGCTCAATGACTAGTACCACATGAAACCAGCTCACTCACCCCCAACCAACTATATACACACACACACACACCACGCACACCCACCACATACACACCAAACCCCCCCCACCACCCACACACACCCCAACCCCCCCCCACCCCACACTCCCCCAAAACCCCCCCCACCCCCCCCCCCCCCCCACCCACCCCCACCCCACCCCCCCCCACCCCACCACCCCCCCCACCAACACCCACCCCCCCCCACCCACCCCCCCCCCACCCCCCCCCCCACCCACCCCCCCCCCCACCCCCCCACCCCCCCCCCCCCACCCACCCACCACACCCCCCCCCACCCCCCACACACACACCCACCACACCACACCACCACACACCACCACACCCACCCACACACACAACCCCACCCACACCCACCCCCCCCCCCCCCCCCCAACACACACCCACACCCCCACCAACCCCCCCCCCCAACACACCACCCACCCCCACCCCCACCCCCCCACCCCCCCCCCCCCCCCCCCCCCCCACACCACCCCCCCCCCCCCCCCCACCCCCCCCCCCCCCCCCCCCCCCCACCCCCCCCCACACCCACACCCCCCCCCACCCCCCCACACCACCCCCCCCACCCCCCCCCCCCCCCCCCCCCCACACCACACCACCCCACACACACACCACACCCCACCCCCACCAACCACCCACACACCCCCCCACCCCCCCCCCCCCCCCCCCCCCCCAACCCCACCCCACCCCCACACCACCCCCCCACCCCACACACACCCACCCACCACACACACCCACACCACAACACAACCCACACACCCCCACCCCCAAAACACACCACCACCCACCCACAACACACACACCACACCCACCACCACACACCCACACACCCACACAACCCCACACACACACACACCACACAAACCCCACCCCCACACACACACCACACACCCACACACCACCCACACACACACACACCCCACACACCCACCCACCACAACCCCCACACACCCACACACAACAACCACACACACACACACACACCCCACACACACCCCACCACACCACACCACACAACACACACACACCCACACAACACCCCAACACAACACACACACCACACACACACACCCACACAAACACAACACACAACCCACCAAAACAAAACAAAACACACCACACACACAACACACACACACAACACACCCCCCACACACACACACAACACACCCACACACACAAAACACACACACACACAAACACACACACACAACACACACACACACACCACACACACACACAACAACACCAACACACACACAACACACACACAAAAACACACACACACACAACACACACACAACACACACACACACACAACACACAACACACACACACCCCAACACAACACACACACCCCACACACAAAACACACACCACACACACACACACAACCACACACACAAACAACACACACACACACACACA